AACAGCTAAGATACTGCGCAGGACCCTCAAGCTCCCAGGCCTCTGGTAGAGGACCCGAGCTTGAAGGATAAACCGCCCGCAGGGGCGTGCTGGGTGTTATATATATATATATATATGTGTGTGTGTGTGTATACTTTATGTACGAACACACACACACATAGATCTACAGAGAGATGTCAGTAGGTAAAGATAAAAATAGCCCATAGGGGAAACTGTGACATCACAGCTCTGAAAACTTTTTGAATTATCAACAGAGTCCCAACTGTCATACTGTCACACTAAATCTCTGTTTCTGTATGGGTTTGCATGCATAGCAATATCACTGTGTGCATTTTGTGATCCAACCCTGCAGGCCATGCATTTAATATGCCGTGCTTTACCTTACATTCAAACAGGCATTTACTGTGGCCAAAGAGCAACATACAGTATATGCTGGCTGCAGCTTTTCCACAAAATCCTTTGTTTTATTTTGTTTTTTCTCATTTCTGCTGTATGTTATTAGGAAAGTTAAGTATATAATGGTCACTAAATCGCAACTGCAATTTCTTCACTGCTTTCACTTCATTTGTACTTATAACCATCTCCAACAGAACAGCGTGATAGTTTAGAGGTAAATGTGAGGCCATGAGTGTGACCCAAACAACAATCAGTCTATTGACTTCCAGCCTACTCAGTAATTGAAAAGCAATACATTGTAGCCCATTGGAAATGTGCCAGGTGTTCTATTTTTAGCCACCAGTTATTATATCTTGTTTCCTACTTTCCTCTTCTCTCACCAGATGGGGAAACTGGACAATCGTAGTCTGACACTGAAGTACCCCGTGTGGCCACGTTTCAACTCCTTTGGTGACGCTGAGCTTGATGACAACCACCTGTCCATCGTCACCTTAGAGGAGAAACCCTTTGTCATTGTGGAGGACGTGGAAAGACTCACTGGTACCTGCATGAGGAACTCTGTGCCATGTAGGAAGCATATCAAAGAGTAAGTGGGATATCTGTCCATCTATCATGCTGCAGTGTTAGCTAGATAGCTAAGTAAGCAAATGCAGTAAAGCTGCTTCACTGCGAATCACCAAATATTACTGGTGTAAAAATGTTTGATTAAATTTTGTGTTAACAGAATGAACAGACATCTGAAATGCAGTTATGTTCACAAGTATCTGTACAAGGATACAGTTTGTGTAGTTTTTTGGATCTGTGACTTAGTTTGATTGTGTGTTTTTTTTTAATTTGTTAAAGTTCAGATTTTTTTAACTAAAGAAAAACATTCTGCAGTCATTCACCTTAGTTGTCCTCCATAGTCGCCCAGAATATTGGTGTTGTTTCATTTTAAGAACTCTTATTAAGCATTCCAACAATCAGCTAACCAAAACGCAAGTTAAACACTTGGAATATCTACCTCAGCTGTCATGGAATAATGAGGGAACAGGCCTCACTTGGCAATGGAACTGCCTGTCAGTCAATTGTCCAATTATTTTTGAGCCTCTGGAAATAGGGCATTATGTATAAAAAATATCCCAAACAGTTAATGTACTGCTTTTGTTAAATCCCTTAAATCCCTTGAATGAAAGCAGAAAGTCTGCACTTCAGTCACGTCTTGATCTTTTGATTTAAAATCCACTATTTTGGTGCACAGAAGCAAAACTACACCAAAGAAATTAGTCATTGTCTTCAAATTTATGGTCCTAACTTACAAAATACAAAACATTTGGGTCTCATCAACAAGTAGCCACTCTGAACATCTAATTTTTGAGATATGTTATACCTACAGTATATATCACACCTCAAAAAACTCGATACCTGCTCCTACTAGGGACACACCCATCATGCAAGTGTAAATGCAGCCGTAATAAGCAAAACAAGGAAATGAGAACGAGATACAGTATTACCGCCTATGTCAATGATATATATTCAAGTATACAAGAAAGTTAAAAGAAAATGCATCCATTAAAATCATCTAAACCTAAGGCACAAAAATGTAAGTGTGTGTTACAGCTAGTCTTAATCTAACAAAGCGGTCCTGTAATGGCACACATGCTTATTATTGCAACACAATAAGCTGCACTTAAGTCATCTCACCCACTCTCTTCCTCCTTACCTTGTCTTGTGGAAAAGCACAACACAGTGAAATGGTCTGAAATACACTCTACTCGCAGTCTAACTGATTTACACGTAATGTTGTTGTATGAGAAGAAAAACTAAGGACTGCATAAAAGAAAGTTTCATAAGAGTGTATTGGATAATCAGAAGGTAATAAATTTACATCATCCGTATTTCATTTTCCACAGCGTCTCTGCGCTCCTCTGTCAGTGCATGCTGTCTCGCTCTCCCCTTTCTCTCACGAACACGGAAAGCGATGCAGTGTGCAGGCTTTGCAGCAGCTTCTTTCCTCCTGAAAATGGAGGTGGCTGCTGAACTCAGCATTTTACTTCCTTCCATACCATTTCTTGCTTCTTCTTTTTTTTCACTAACGCCAAAATACCTCTAGCCCCTTGTTATATTATATTCCTGGAGCGCAAACACACACTGTGGGTGTATGTCACAGAGTGACTTGAGTGGTGCTGAATCAGCGTAATAATAAATGATGTCTGGATCACGTACATTTTCATGGATATTTATTATAGATATTCATTTTTTCCACATGGAAATACCAGAAAATGTTAGGAGATCAAGTCTGGGCATTTTTCAGAGTTGCCCTTTCTCACATGTAGCAATCAGCAATGTTCTTGTTGCTAAATACTGGATCAATTTGGGCAAAGGAAACAGATCTGCGATGTCACATGTCACATGTCACACAGAGTCTAGAACAGTTCAGGGCTTTAATGTATGTGTGAAAAAAAAGGTCTACACACTTTGTGTCACTCGTTCAATGCGTAATGTCTGCAGCTCTTTTTGCGTCACACAAACAGAGTTGATTAAGCGGCGATAGTTTTAGGGAAGTGGCTGACAGTGATTTACATCCAGAAAACACTGTGAAGTGGGGCGGAGAGCAAAGCATCTCCAAGGAGGAACACAAACACACATTTACGAGCTCGTACGCTCTCTGTGGCCACATGTCCACTCACTCACAGGCCAATGCTGCTTTTTAGCCTCCCACAGCGCAATTCCCACTCAAGCATCCGAAGCGCCCATTTGGAGAAAGTGGGATAGATGGAGGGAAGGAGAGAGGCAGACCCGGAGTGGTGAACGGGGGTTGGATTGGGGTTGAAGGAGTACCCATGCATGCAGAACCAGAAATTCACTCATCCAGGCCTGGCTTAAGAGCAAGCCATACTTACACTAACGCTCTCATAGTCATACACAGACCCACACTTTCCTCCCTGGAGACCCCTCGGGCCCTGTAGTGTTTCTATATCAAGTTGGCCTGCCAAGTTCACAAACAGCCTCCATAACATCACATGCTCTTACTGCCTGATCTGTACAGTGGCCTGCCTAAATGGGAACGCCGTGTTTGTGAATGCAGCTAAGTTCTGGCCTATATGCTTACTCTGTCAGCTCCCACCATTCCCCACCAGCTGAATCTGCCAGAAACTTGGGTTATTTGTCCTTGTTTCGGCTAACATCAACCTGTTCCTTGTAGTTGCATTACATTTACCACAATTTCATTCTTACTTCAACATCACAAGAATATATTGCATATTGTGCTTAAAGCGGCCATGCTTGGAATAAAGACAAGAAATTTACATATCAAAGAGTACAGTGCAGCCGCTGCCTAGTGTGACCTCTTCTGTGGAGAAGACTAAGTTAATTAGCGCTTCTAAGCTCATACCACATTACCCACAGAACCTCAAGCCAGTATCTCTTTTTCTCCGTCCATCCACTCTGTGATTTTATTCCATTGCCACTGGTGTCCAAACTGTTGAGCTACTGTTGAAATGTGTGGATCAGGAAAGCAAAATAAAAAGTTACATTGCATTCGACAGAGCTGCAAATGCAATTAGGAAAAGACATTATTTTACACTAAAAAGGAGTCAAGCCCATTATTTTATTTCTTCTGTGATGGATTAAAGGTTGTTTAGTGTTTCAGTGTGGTGTTCAAAAGTTGCAGGTTTCATAGAATGACATTCATAACTGCTGACATATCGGCACTTGGCTCTTTTTCCCCCTTTCTTGTGTGAAACTGTTAGACTGTGAAAGTAAATGCCTTTCCAGTTCAAAGACAGGAAAGAATTCCACTTGGGGAGACATTTGTTTGACAGATCGATGGCGACTAGTGAGGGAGTTTGCGAAAAACTGGCAAATGTTATCTCTTTTTTCCTGGTGCTGCAGAATAACTTAAAAGTGACAAAGTTTCATCTCTGAAGGGTACTGCAGAGTCACAGCCTGATGCGCGGGGGTCCCCTCCTTACTTTCCGTCAAGTTTTTGCCCAGGTTGTTGTTACGGTAAAGGACGAGGTTATCGTCTTCTAATTAGCACACATCTAAAAGTTAAATGAGACTCCCAGGTGGCTCAAAGTTGATGTGCTCTTGTGTGTGAACTCTTCTGCTCTCAAATTCATATACACAGATGGTACAAGGCTTGCAGATGCAGCGCCGTCAAAATTTCCTTCTCCAGAGAGGTGTTGGGAGAAAAGGGAGCATATTTTTCTAATCTTCAGTCATTCCTGAATAGATTGACCTGAACTTAAAGGTGAAAAAGACCCAGGGTGATATTTGTTCACTGGTGCAATCACAAATTTAACAAACATGATGGAAAAAATGAAGCAAACAATGTTCCTTTTGTTTTTTAATGAATGAATGAATGAGGGTTCCCTACCTAAACGTGGATGTAAAAATGGATTTGCAGGCTATGCAAAGAGCTGGTATTTGTTCTGTCAATGTTTACTTCAATCATAGCGTTGATGCCATTTGTTTTTTTCCCACCGCTGACACCGAGCGAAAGACTAATCATCTGCTGATGGTCTTTGTGTTTTGTGCTTCTGCAGCAACACGACTGAGGCTGGTGGGACGTATATCAAGAAGTGCTGTAAAGGTTTCTGCATCGACATTCTGAAAAAGATAGCCAAGTATGTGAAGTTCACCTATGACCTGTACCTGGTTACCAATGGCAAGCATGGCAAGAAGATCAACAACGTCTGGAATGGGATGGTGGGAGAGGTAAAAAGAGCCTTTTTGTGTGTGTATATATAAGTGTGCCTGTGTTATTCAACTACCGTATTACTCATCTTGTTGGAAACTAAGATCATCACACATTGTGGAGATGTGCTTTGATGGAGCAGCACTTTGCTAATACAAAGTGATACATTTCAGATGAAAACATGTATTAAGGTTAAAGTTCATCCTCGTTCTTCTAAGTGGGGTACCTGCTGACCCCACAGGTATACCTTTTATGATATCATACAGGTGTTTCATTCTTTTATTCCAAATTTCCTTTCAGTTACTTGTTGCATGTTGGATGTTGCAGATCATCAAACAAATTTCAATTAGACAAAGATAACCCGAGTAAATCCAAAAGGCAGATTGATGATTAATGATGATTTGAATGAAGTGAAAACAGCTATCCAAACCTACCTGGCCCTGTGTGAAAACGTAATTGGATCGATCTCCAGTTGGCGTGTCAACTTATTCTTGGGCAAGATACTGAGCCATGAGTTGCCCTGATGCATCCGTTGGCGTATAACTGGTGTAAATAAAGTTCTTGAATCTCACATTTGCAAAAAATATCTTGCTGATCAGATGAACTTTTTTGAGTTTGAGTCCCGTTAAATCTAACACAACATTTAAACATGCAAGCCCCTGAACTAGCGATTCGCCAACAATGACCCCTATGTGTGATCAGGAGGTAAATATTGCAGGGCAACAAATGTGTGAGCAACCAAACCTCAGAACTGATGCCCACTGGAAAGTTTGATCTTAAGTAATCTGTAATCAAAGGCAGATTTAACTAAAAAAGGTGACCAACAATTTAAAATGTGCTTTTTTTTAAAGCAGACTGTTAGAATGATCATTTAGTTTTTCCAATTTTTTTATGTTTCAAAATAAATTTAAATATCGCCAGAGCAAATGTTCACAGAGTGTAAAAAACAAAAACAAAAAACAACTGTTACTATAGCAACTCAGACCTGAAGACCCAAGTTTCAGAGTTAATTTTAAGACTATAAACTTTGCATTTTTTAATGCTTAATTAATTCATTTTCTGGGTTGAATGTTATTTGTATTTGTTTTAATCCTATTTTGCACTACTGCTTACATATTGGCTACATTGATTAAATTTCAGTATGAGATTAAAAACTTTATTTATGTGCAATCAGTAATCTTTACATTCTTGTGCACAGATTTGTCAACATTTACTTTGGGTGGAAGAGACAACATGTAGTTAGCCTAATGAAGACATTTGTTCTACTCTGTGATAGCTATTGAGGGTGTACTCCACCTTTTGACCCTGTGACAGCTGGGGTGGAAATGGATCCAGATGGATGAATGGATGAGTAGATTGTAACTTTCTCTTCCTTTCTCCCCAATCATTCCTCTTATGTCCCTGCTCTCCTCCCTCCTCCTCCCCCTACCCTGAAAAGGTGGTCTATAAGAAAGCCGTCATGGCCGTCGGATCTCTGACGATCAATGAGGAGCGTTCTGAGGTCATCGATTTCTCCGTCCCGTTCGTGGAAACTGGGATCAGTGTCATGGTGTCCCGTAGCAATGGAACTGTGTCCCCATCAGCCTTCCTTGGTAATTGTCACCAAATAGCTGCTCTTCTCTTGTTAGACTGAGGAGAGAACAAGAAGAAAACCTGTCTTGTTTGCTTCTCTGGTTTGTGTTAGTATAGAACGGTGTTTGTTTTGAGTGTGTGTGTGTGTGTGTTCCCTCAGATACAGCACTGACAACATAATTCACTTCTGTTACACAGCTGTCAATACTTGCTCTTTCATCTGAGGGATTTAGCTGAATGCCCGCTTCCTGCCACAGCGACTCTCACTTACCTGAGAGGCACTTAACCGCAGGATTTTAACCTAAGAGACCACGGATATCCCCGTTATGGTTCCTCAGTCACGTTCATTTGATGCAGAGTGCTTTAACATTGACATCCACAACAGTTCGCGATGCCACTGACCCAATGCACACACAAGCTTACATGCAAATTGGCTGCAGGAATTTCCACGAAAAAGAGAAACTCTAACACACACAGCAAGGACGCACACGCAAGTACACATGCTGACATGCGTGGAAGCATGCAGTTAGTGGTGTGAAAATGGAAATTATAAGGGCTTAGCAGGAAAACCTCATAATGGCTGCTTGCCACTCTGCACATGCACACTCAAATGCACACATCCCGGTGTGCGGCCCTATGCCAGCAGTGCTCTCCCATACATTAGAGCAGAGTTTAATCTCTGCAGTAATGTTAAGGGCTCAGAGGGAGGACAGGAGTGCTGACACCAGGGCTTTCTATACTGTACCCCTTATTCCACAGCCAAATAGGAGGAACGCCAGTATATATGCAAGTGGTTTGGGGTAGGTGGGTGGGGTGAGATCTGTAGGGCTTCTGAACTTAGAATGGTCTGCTTGGACATGGAGTTCTTCCCTCAGTATGTGTGTGTGTGTGCATACGGTATTTCTGACCTGTTTATTCCTTCAGTTTGTGGAAAGACGAGGAGTGTGCAAATGATAAGAAAAAGTGACGGATAAGCTATAAAAAGTGCAGTATTAGCTAAGCATTAGCACGACCTCTGTTCTCTTGACTTTCTCTCTTTCTTTCACAGAGCCATTCAGTGCATCAGTGTGGGTGATGATGTTTGTGATGCTCCTGCTGGTGACTGCAATGGCTGTTTTCATGTTCGAATACATCAGTCCTCTTGGCTTCAACAGAAACTTGGCACAGGGAAAAGGTGAGTACGGACACTAAAGCTTAATTTAGACTTCTGCACTGATTCTAGCCTATGCCAACATTTATGCCTGTGTTGCTGTGGTGCTGCTGCGTGTAGTCACATTTCTAAGGAGGTACACGTCAAGTTATGCCGTAGGGTTTCAGGAGGGTTACAATATACCTAAGACATAAATTTAACACAGAAGCACAAGTCCACTGCTCTAATATTGGGTAGTTTAAATTGCATGTCACTTGTTCTACAAATAGATTTTGAAATATTTGTTTTCTTTCTTTCTAATTTTATACCATCCATCTCGCTTTCCCACACACACTCTCTTTCCTCGTTTTCAGACCCTCACGGCCCTTCCTTCACCATGGGCAAGGCAGTGTGGTTGCTGTGGGGTCTGGTCTTCAACAACTCTGTGCCGGTGCAAAACCCAAAAGGAACCACCAGCAAGTTCATAGTGTCAGTATGGGCCTTCTTCGCTGTCATCTTCTTGGCCTCCTACACTGCCAACTTGGCCGCCTTCATGATTCAGGAGGAGTTTGTCGACCAAGTCACCGGGCTTTCAGACAACAAGGTAACGAAGAACGAATGAGGTAGTTTTATGATATGTTTTTTGCAGGCCTTCAGTTTTATATCATACAACAGGATTAGAAAATCATCATAGGATGAAGGGGAAAATTAAGCATAGTACCTGTTTTTGTTGCGTGTGGCACTACCGTTCCTCTCACAAAGTTCCAGTCACCTGAATTCAAATGTACAAGTTTTACCGTTTTAAATCCAGCTGGAAATTGTGTTCTGTTGCTCCAGAATGAATTAACATGGGCTCTGTTTTATGCACTCAGAATCAAAATGACATGCATATAGAAAAATGCAGCAACAAACAGAAAGACTGGGATATTAAAAGAAAAGGTCAAGCCAAATGTAGTGAAACAGATTGGAGGGTTGGAGAAGGCTAGACAAAAGAGCAGAGTGCTTCCAAGGACAGAAATACAGATGTATTAGAGGCGATACTATCAAGAGAAGGCTGACATAGAGGGTTTTGACAACAAACAGACGGAGAGAGGGAGGGAGGGATGGTGTAAGAGGTACATCAATTGGCAGGAGAGAGACTGAGGACTAGCAAAAGGCCAAGACACACAAGATGGTACAAGACAACAGGCAGACAGATATGGGCCAGTTTGAAGGCTGAGGTAAGGGAAGAAAGGCATTAGGAGGGAGAAAATAGAATATGTGGAAAGACAGGGAGGGTTGGGAACGAAAGGAAACAGACAAGAAGGGCAAATGGCCGTTTAGACAGTTATGCTGAGAGAGGCTGGCCATCGAGCCAAATGCGACCGACAAAATGATGAAAAGCATTCCTCGTGCGGGGCCATGTTTTGTGTAGTTTACTTAAGGTGGGTTTAGACTGTTAGCAGGCACAAACAGATGCACTCTACTGTACCTATCAACCTGAGGGAAGGATGTAACACCACTAGTGTAAATTCTTATACTTTGGTACAACCATTTCCTTTAATATGCAATTATAATCATTTTATATGATGAGGCAAACACATTTTTTTCTAAAAGTAACATTTTTTTCTTCCAAAAGTTGTAGGACCAAAGTGCTTCACAAAAGTGCACACACATACACACAACACTCTGGTGCATCAGTGCTCAACGAGATGAAGTTTAAGATTGCATCACTGCCCTCAATGCATTTGGGAAATATAGGCATAGTTTCCAAAGCAGGCTTTTGCCGTTGTTAGTTACCATCCCTAAGTTTGGTGCTTTACCTTTAGCTTTCTGGCTAGCTTGCTGTAGCTGTGATAGCATACATTCCTGTTGAATATTAGTAATGGACAGCGGTGTGAATCAGATAGCTCCCCTTCGCTGTCTTGTTATATCAGTGCGTGTAGGTGTGGTTACAGCTAATATGTATTTAAGCTAATGATGATGACAGATCTTTAAAGGCAGCAAATAGTTTACTACCACTCAGTCTGAAATGTTAGTACTGATAGTAGTGATATATGTACAGGCTCATCTCTACCATATACTTATGGTGCTCACAAACTATGTGCAGTGGACAAGATTTTGCACTTTCTAATGAAAAGTGGCAGCAGTGTAGAATAGGCTGGGTATCGTCACTGATTTCTAGAATCGTTTTGATTTTTCTATCTATAAAAAGAAAGAAGATTTTCCTGGCAAATGAATAATGCAGAAAACAGAGATTTTTAGATTGGAAACTGTTCTTGAAGTACAGAGACAGAGAGGTCTGCATGAAGTGTGATTTTATCGTGGTGGAAGCAAAACAGGAAAGGTCAGAGGGAATTCATGACGATGTTTATGTGAAGCAAAGTTTGGATCTTCTTTTGCTGCTGGTTCGGTCAATATTTTTTGGAGAGAGATAAAAACCTGCAGCTTCAGAATCAGCTCAAAAAGGGCGTAAACACAAAGCGCAGACCCACAGAAACATCAGAATCAGCGAGCTGTCGGCTTTCAGCCCCGCCTGTGTCCGTGCCGTCGGGTGAGAAAAGCGACATCTCACTGATTCTGATCCGTCGGCGGGTCCACGCTTTGCTTTTACGTCTTTGTGCAGAATCCGTGTACCTGCTCTCATTTACTGTTTTAGCTGTTTGGTGGTTGTTGAAAGTTTGTGAGGTTTAACCTGAGATTCTGGCGTTTCGTGCAAAATACATTCATATTTAAAAATCGATTCTGGATTTTATTGAGTCAATATCACGTTATCCAAGCTAGAATCGATTTTAATCGATAAATCGATAATCAAAACCCACCCCTAGTGTAGAAGCTAGTTTAACCAGTGATTGTTTTAGCATCGCTGTTAGCATTGCTCAAAGATCATAATAAGTTATACAGGCATTATTTTACAGACTTTGTAGATTACATTTGGTGGATGTTTGTGCCAAATCTAGGAATAGAGAGCTTTAAGAATTGTATGCAAGTATAAATTTAAGTTGATTACATTAGTCACTAACAGAATTCTTAGAATGGTCTGTGAGACACCTGTGGGGAAGTACAATAGAATAAATTACTGGTAAATACATGTAAGTGTTTCTCCTAAAATTACACATTAACTGCACGACTGGTCGATCGCTGTGTCACATTGTTTTAATTTTAAATTCCTACTAACTGAAGCCTTCAAAAAACGTTTTGTTTTTGTTTTTAAAAAAGTGTCTTTTACATATCACTTTCTTAAAGCTGCAGTATTTGTGCATTGTGTCCATTTCAGTCAATGGTGACAGGAAGAGCTGTTTTTATTTGTTTTAATAATTGATGAAGAGAAAGCAATGGATGTTTACTGAGCTGTTAAACTTGTTCTCTAAGCAGCCTGCTTCATGCACAAGTGGAGAGCAGTCAGTTAACAGGTCTTTGGTGTTTTATGGTGCATGGGGATTTGTCTTTGCAAATCTGGCTGCTCTTTCTCTGCTTTTCGGTTTTGTTTCGGTTTCTCAGCATTATAAAATTGCTTTTTGTGAAGCCTACAGACTTTAAATTTCAAATGTAAACAATCTGCTGCTGTTGTTGGAGCTGTAGTAGCTTTCAGCGGCATTATGATGAAAGAAATAACTAGGTTCTGGCACTTTCCACATGCATCTACTTAGAAGAGATTTAAAACATCTCAATAATGTTAAAAAAACAGTCACATATGAGCAAAACATGTAGATTTGTAGACATGTAGACAAACGCTGGGAAGCAATGGGACATGAAAATGTAGCATGGAGACCCCTAATGACTCAGTCACTAAAAATAGGATGGCACAATACGACCACTTTTGATCGCATGGCAATTACAGAGGTCACCTGGTGGGAGGCAGCCTTCGTCCAAACATTGACTGTCTGACTGCAATCACTCTCAGACAGACTAGTGACGGTTTGCAAATAATTGCAGTCTAGTTCATAAATGAGTACAACTTTTCTGCAATGTGCCTCACTCTACGTAAAAGCAAGGTTGCACAGTGCCTGCTATAATTCAAACATTTTGTTTCAAATCTACGAGGTTCTGAGTAGACAACAAATGTAAGTTGTTAATGTAAATTTCTGTTTAATATGAACAGAACAGATTTGTGATTTTTGCCAGTTTATCTCAGTTAATTGAAGTCATTCCATTTATTGGCATTTTGATGCACCAAAGTCGCTTTGAAGGCTGGTGTGATCGCAGATCTGCTCTTCAACCATTTTAAAGGCAGCGAGGTTGCAAGTTCATTGCAAATAGTCTGAATAATTTTGTTCATGTCATGATCTCCACTGTTTTATAGCATAATATTTACACACACAGAGAATAAAAAAACATAGTAAGACATGTATCCGTCTGCATGCCAAATATCCTCGGGCAAGATACTAACCCCAAGTTGCTCTCCAATACATCCATCAGAGTGTGAATGTCTCCGACTGTTCGGCAGGAACCACTTAAGCATAGAAAATTGTGAATGAGTGAAGGAAGCATGTTGCATAAACTCCTTTGAGTGCTCAGGTAAAGTAACAAACCGTTATACAAGAACCAGTCAGTTTATAGTGATTAGGAGATGGAGGGGAAAGCAGAAGCAGAACAGACCAAAGAAGACCTGCAGGACAAAATAGAAGAAAATAAAGGAGTAGGGTGAGTTAATAAACATGGCAAAAGCAATGAGATCGATCAAGGTTTCATGATAACCACAGACATTTGTAAGCAATATATTTATATGTTGCACAGAGTTACTATAATTTTATTGTGTTTTATTTTATTTGTTTTTATTCCATTTAGCTTGCGTAGGTTTGTAGGTTTGCTCCTTTCTGTGGTTTGTGGAGTCAACTGATACTCACATTGCCATCCAGTGTCTGTAAACATGTAACCTGTGCCTTGTTTAAGGTGAAAGTTTTTACGTATTTAATAAAACATATTCCAATTATAGTTATGTAACGTACATGGACATAATGTGTAGACTCTCAGTTTTCATTTGAGAGTATCCACATTCAAATTGGATGAAGGGTTTAGGAGTTTTAGCTCATGTGACATCCTTTTTTTTAAATGAGCAAAAGTAATTGGACAATTGACTCGAAGGCTGTTTCATGGGCAGGTGTGGGCAATTCTTTCATTATGTCATTACCAATTCAACAGATAAAAGGAAGATTTTGCTGTGAACAGACACTATGTGGAGGTCTCCATGCAGGTGAAACAAGCCATCACTAAGCTGCAAAAACAGAAAATAAAACATCTGAAATGAAGAGAATGTGTTAAAAAAATGCTTTACTTCCTCATTTTTATACAGTCTTTTTGTTCAACCCACTGAATTAAAGCTTAAAGTTTGCACTTCAACTGCACCAGAGTTGTTTCTTTTAAAATTCATTGTGGAACAGAAAACAAATATTAGAAAAAAAAGGTCTCTGTCCAAAAATTTATGGACCTGACTGTATATGTTCACAGTTTTATTACAGATTATTTAAGGCTTTTGATGTTGGCGTTTGACATTGAGCTTAGTTAATAAGAATAATTTGTGTGATACCTTTACATATCACTTTGATTTTAATACCTATTATTAGCACCTATACACCCTACATGCACTTACAGTACATAAGGAGAAAAGTGTTCTCAGGCTGCTGAGAGAAATTTCTCCTCTGGGTTTTGAGTCTTTTACCCAGGTAACTGGATTTTGTCCTGTGAGAAACCTTCATATTTTAATTAGATTAGTGATTATTACAGTCATTACACACATTACCAGATTTAGGCCAGATGACTCACTTCACTCAAAGCTCACCTCTTACTGATGCTCTCCTTTCCCCATGGCATTGTATTGAAATGTAGTTTAATGTGCAGGGTTTGCGCAACCCTGCATATATTTGATCCAAACTGTGATCTCTTTTTAAAGCTAATCAAACAGATTTTGGCAGCTAACCTGCAAGTAAAAGTATACTGCTGTATCAAGGAAAAGACGCTAAAGTACATCTTATGGATAATTTGGTAAGACCTGGAGGTTTCTGACAGCATGGCAGTATTTGAAAGTTGAGAATACATGCTTTTTTAAAAATAGTCTTTGGAAACCCTGCATCAGAAAATCGTCCGGAAATCTTGCCAGAAAGCCTTGACGGACAACAATCCCCACGATCTGGTTGTGGCTATGTTGCAGGACGGTGAGTTCTTTTATCTACACCTATCTTAGCCTCAAATCCTCTCCTGCCTCCGCTCCTTCATTTTGTCGTCAGCTCTGCATTAAGCTTTCGTTAGCAGCAGCTGGTGCAGTTCTTAAAAGCCCTTCACTGGTAATTATCAAGCAAGAGAAGAGTGCTTTTCAAGTCTGAATCCCAACCCGCCACTCCACCACACCCCTACCAGCCCCTGTCACCCCCCTCTCACTCCTCCTGGGACATTTACCCTCTCCTGACCTAAAAGCTTCTATTTAACCTTAAGAAAGGCACAAATGAAGAAAAGATGAAGAAGGAGAAGTAAACAATAGCAAGGACTGTGGGAGGAGAGAATGTCTCCTAAGGGCTGTTGCTTGTCATGCTGACAAACACACTGTGTGACATCTCCACTAACATATGAATGCGCACTCGTATGCACAGCGCAGTTTGACTTGTCGACACGCGCTCACGCTCACCCTGACCTGATTACACAGCAGAGACACATATATGTGCCGTCAGATGCAGCATGTATAAACGCTTAGAAATATGCTCAAATATATTATGCAGATTAGTTTTTGATGCAAGCAAACAGTGCATCGTTTTTGCAAACAATCAAGCAGATGAGTTTTGTGTATGTTGAACAGACAGAGAAAACAACAGGAATGCTAATAATCTGCTAATGAAATCCTCCAGTAGCAGCCTACAAGTGGAGTCAATCATGTGTTGTATGAATACGTTAAAGCAAAGTAAAGTAAGCCTGTAAGCGTTTGAGATGACATGCAGTGTTATGTTTCTGAGAACCGCTTTAATAATATGGACTGAAACCGTCGGCGCACAAACTAGCACAGCATGTGGTTAGAGTGAGGCTCATAAATACACACTTGTAATTGATAGGGTTTGTCTGCTTCTGGCACCGAGGGCAGATTGTTACCACAGTGCTGGAGGGTTGGTTTTTACCTCAGCTACAAGCACGCTTGGACAAAACTCTTGACCTGTACTCTGATACACTGATTATACCTGAGAGGGGGTTTGTGGAGGAGGCAGAGAGAAATGATGGGAGAATTTAAAAAGAAAAGAAAATCAGCGAGTGGATGGGAAACTACGGCACCAGTGGTTCCTTCAGTAAGGGTTGCTCTTGAAGTGTTGTGGGTTTTTTTTTTTAGAAATTCAAATGAAGATGTGTAACCTCAGCTTTTCCTTTTCCTTCTCCATTGTTCTTCTCATCACAGTTTCAGAACCCATATGCTTATTCGCCTCCGTTCCGCTTCGGGACCGTTCCAAATGGTTCCACTGAAAGAAACATCAGGAAGAACTATCCCGCCATGCACCAGTATATGGTGAAGTATCACCAAACTGGAGTCCAGGATGCACTCGTCAGCCTCAAAACGGGGTAAAGAGACACTTTGTGTGCATGGGTTTTTGTGAGTTTGTTGGTAAGTGCACTTTTACATCATTCATATGTGTGTAGTTTTTTGTGAAAACCTAGGCCTGTGAAGTGTACCTCTTTCATGCCTGAATGTATCCACGCTTGTGTGTGTGTGT